GGAGGAAGGAAGGAAGGAAGGAAGGAAGGAAGGAAGGAAGGAAGGAAGGAAGGAAGGAAAAGAATCCATATTAAGAAAAAACTATGTATGGATCTCAAAATTTTTTGCAACAAAATAAATTCATACTTTAATTACAATTTTTTCCAAACTTTTTGAAGTCTCCTCCTGTGTCACCCCTAGTTGATAATCTCACCATTTCATCCCTAAAAGTTTACCCGCTCTGCTAGTACATCAGACAGTGGTGAAACAATGATCCTCTAAGATGGAAATGTAGGCAGAAAATGTCATCATGTAAAATGACAGAGGAAAATGCCTTTATACTTGAAGGAGAAAAAGGAAAAAAACAAAAAGAGACTGTATTGTAAAATCAGGAGTCATTCACAAGATGCAGTTTTGATCTTGGGAAATATCTCATGAGGGAAATAGGAAGTAATAAAAAAAATCACTCCAGGGAAATCAATAAAGCTGAGAGATGAAAAGGAGATTCAGGTATTTGCTGGACTAGAGAATGTTTAACTCCGAGGTGTCATTTCCCCACCAATTCTCACCAGCAAGTTCCTCCACCAGAGTGAAGATCAGCGTCAGGAGGCTAAGTAATATGGTCCTCATGTTTTGGTGTCTCGCTCCCATCACAGGCTCACCGCATTTGTGCTCAAGTCTTTTGCTCAAGCTCAATCACACATCTTCGTGGATAACTCACACATCACGAGTGCCTTTTCCTGGCTGTCAAGGAAACAAAAGGAAGATGGCTGTTTCCAGAGCTCTGGATCACTGCTACACAATGCTATGAAGGTGATGCCTTCTCAAATTCTGTTCTGGTCTTTGGAAATAGTGATGTGTAGGAAGGAATGATGCTTCTATTGGGTCCTCAAGTTCTGGTGACATTGCTTTGATGAACAATGGTGCACTCTAAGCTCCTAAAATCTAGCAATAATTTAGTCATTTTTCTTTTTCTGTTTTTGTTTGTTTGTTTCTTGTTTGCTTGTTTGGTATGCTATAGGGTACATGTACTCAACCAGAGAAAGACAGAAAGAGAGAAGGGAAAGTGAGAAATCACCCCTTGGTAGTGGGGTGGTCATGCAGACAATCCCTGCTCTTCCATTCTCTTCTCAGGAATTTAGGCACACACCTGTACACTCCTAGTGTGTTTCTCAACTTACTGGGTCTGGAACTCAATCCATGCAGTGGCCATATGGGATCCAGTGCCTTAACTACCTTGCCACCTGGCTGGCCCAATTAGTCATTTTTTTTATTAAATAGAAATAGTGAGTTGTGAGTTGTGTTTTGTTTCCTTTTTTTTTTGTTGAGGTTTTTGCTATAGGGCGCATGCTCTTGCCAGAGAGACAGAGACAGAAAGCGAGAAATCACCCCCCAGGGGATGGCCACGCCACAATCCCTTCTCCTCTATTCTCCTCTCGGGATCTTGGGCACGCATGCACACATGCCCAGTATGCGTTTAAGCCACCTGGTCCGGGACTCGAACCATGGTCGACTACATGGGAGTCCAGCAACATAGCCATTACGCCAACTGCTGGTCCCTGGAAATAAGAGTTTTTTAAAAGACCAATAAAAGTGGGGGAAGGTGATTTGGGACACACTCAAGTATTTTAGGATGAAGGAGGGAGGGAGAAAATAAAAAATACAGCACAAGAAGAGAAACTCCTTGCTGAGACGCCAAAGGAGACAGGAGAGTGAGCGGGCTCTGGCTAATGAGTGCTGGGTTTTCTGAGTGTTTCTGCCTCTGACCCTTACAGGGCGGAGTAGATGATGAGGTGACGCTCTCTGCCTACATCACCATTGCCCTGCTGGAGATGCCACTGCCTGTCACTGTACGTAAACGTTCTCGGTACCTCTTCACAGTGTAAAGCATAAAGGTCATGGAACTGTGACTCCCTGAAGAAACTTCATTGTTTTTCATGATATTTATTTTGGTTTATTTCACTGGAATATAAAGAAGTAGGGTCTTCTGAAGGCTGCAAAGGAAACTAGTCTCTGGTCAGAACTGTGATGTGGCACGAGCCATTGGGACTTTTATGTGGGGATAGCCCGGGGACAGGTCAATAGCCTGGATCCGCTATTTGAGCATCATTTTTGATCTCCACAGAACCCGGTTGTCCGCAATGCTCTATTCTGCCTGGAAACGGCCTGGAGCTCCATGTCGGAGGCCCAAGGAAATCTTGTCTATACCAAGGCATTGTTGGCCTATGCGTTCGCCCTAGCAGGAAACCAGGCTAAGCGAAAGGAGATCCTGGAATCACTAGACAAAGAAGCTGTAAAAGAAGGTAAGAGCTCCTACTGCCAAATGCACGTCTCACCGCCACCCGTGATCAAAAGGAAGATCCCTCCATTGCACTCACAGCTATCATGGTGCCTCAATTACAATGACAGTGAGAGTAACTGCCATTGATCTAACACCGAGATTTCTACCTACCATGAGCCATTTTATCGATCTACATAGTTCAGACTTTACACGGCCTGCTCCCAATATCATGCAAGTAATACATGAACACACATGTGATTAGCTAAAACCGATTGAATCTCCCAGCAAAGATTTGCTGGGTGGTGACTATTGTATGCTTCATTTACTTTATGCCAATGGGTGAGCTCTAATTACAATCGTCACTCATGGATTCGATTTTGGAACCATTTTCTAAGCTAAACATTCTACCCTTTCCCATTTCAAAGAGGATTCAATCCACTGGCAACGTCCTGGGAAAATTGGAGAAGCCGAGACACTATTTCATCAACCGCGGGCCGCTTCTGTAGAAGTGGAAATGACAGCTTACGTGCTCCTCGCCCTCCTTACTGGCAAGTCTGCCCGGTCTTCAGAGGACCTGGCTGTGGCATCACACATTGTGAAATGGATCACCAAGCAACAGAACCCTCAGGGCGGCTTCTCCTCCACTCAGGTCTGTGGAGACACTCTAGGAGGAAAAAGACATGTATTAACACAGTTATAGATACAGCCATGTTTCAGGGGGTCAGTAATGGAATAGGTAATACTTCTAACTCACTCATCTCTGCTCCTCCATCACTAGACATGTTCTAGCCTTTTCATTTTACATGTGGGCTACTGCCCTGTGCTCTTTGCAGACTCTCTTCTCTTCTGTCTTTACTGGATCACTAATAGTACAGGGTGAGGGGATGGCATGGGATGTGGTGGTTAAGGTGCTAGACTCCCACATGGCCAACTATGGTTCGAGTCCTAGACCTAATGTCTTGCTTTCCCTTTCTCCCTCTCTCAGTCTCTCTCTGGTCAAATTAAAAATAATAATAAAAAATAAATAAAATTATATAAGATAAAAAAAAAAGAGAGTACAGGTTGATCAGTCTTCCCAAAGCAATGTTTTTATAAAATTTCTTTCTTGAGGAAATAAATCCTTTTTACCTGAAGTCTAAAATTGTCTAATATTTTACCCAAAACATTTCCTCCTTCCAGCACCAATCTGGGAAATCCCTTCACGTTTCCTCACATGGTCTCCCTGCCCTCGCCAGACTTTCACTTAGACATTTCCCACGCCAGTACTTCCTGACTCTCTCTTCTCTCTACATAAATCTTCTGATTACTCAGAGATAATCTTACTTCTTGCCTTGTTCATTCTTTTCTTACCAATCTAGTTCATATTTTCCAATTCTTTCCCTGAATTTGTACAACAAACATCGTTATGTAATTTTTTTTTTTTTTGGAGAGGTTTTTGCTATAGGTGTGTGCGCTCTCCAGAAAGACAGAGAGAGACAGAGGGACAGAAAGCGAAAAATCACCCCTCAGAGGGAATGGCCACACCACAATCCCTTCTCTTCCACTCTCCTCTTGGAATCTTGGGCACACACGCACATGCGCCTGCCATGAGTTTAAGCCAGCGGGTTCGGGACTTGAACCATAGTCGACTATGTAGGCGTTCAGCAACATAGCCATTATGCCAACTGCTGATCTCCATCATTGTGTAAATTTACAAGTTATTGTAGGAGCCTCTGCTTTTGCCAAATATTTGGATCTTATTTCCATACATGGGAACTATTTTTATTTCTTCTCTAAGTACCTAGGATAGTTCACCATTAATAATCAGATCTGACCTGAACTGAAATTGCAATAGTGAACTGTTTACGACTAAATAATCCTTAAAGAGAAAAGTGTTGATGTGTTACATCCAGTGTGATTTTGCTCGTTTTCTGTCCTGTGATTTCTGCCCTCATTCTTCCTTTCAGGATACAGTGGTCGCTCTCCAAGCCCTCTCCAAATACGGAGCAGCAACTTTCACTAAAAACGACAAGGCAGCTTTGGTCACTGTCAAGTCTTCTGAGACCTTTTCTGGTGAATTCCAAGTAGATGATGCTAACCGTCTACTGCTGCAAGAGATCAAATTGCCAGAGGTTCCAGGGGAATACAGCACCACGGTGTCAGGGTCAGGATGTGTGTATCTTCAGGTGAGACTGCCTGGGTTTACGGGATGCCACAAGTGGGAGAGAAAGTCTCAAGAGTTATATTTGAATTTAAAAAATAGAAGAAGGAAAGAAATGTGGACCAGCAGATGATGTGAAGGTCAAGGCAGCTGGATCCCACAGGGCTGACAGTGTGGTTTGAGTTCCAGACTCAGCAGCTTGAAAGACACACGGGACATATGTGGGTGCTATGTGGGTGCATGCACCAGATCCCAGAGGAGTATTGAAAGAGAAGGGATTATGTGTGGGTCATCCCCCGACAGGGGTGATTTCCCACTCTGTCTCTCTCTCTCTCTCTCTCTCTCTCTCTCTTGCAACCACATGTGCCCTACTGCAAAATTTAAAGGAAAAAAGAAAAGAAAAGAAAAAGAAAAGAAAAAAGAAAAAAGAAATGTGTGCTAAGGAAGGTGTGAATTATCTGAATAGCATAATGAGACTATCTGAGTACAAAAAATCAAGGGTTTCTTTTTTTCCATTTATTTTAGACATCTTTGAGATACAATGTCCTTCCCAAGAAAGAAGGAGAAGCACCATTCTCTCTGCAGGTTAATACTATCCCCAAGAATTGTGAAGGTATAGATGCTCACAGGAACTTCCAGATTCACATCGACATTAGGTAAATCCTACATCTCAAACAGACCTTTTAAAGAATATGGAAAAACTGGAACCAGCAGTTAGCGTAATGGCTATGTCGCTGGACTCCCACGTAGTCGACCGCAGTTCAAGTCCCAGACCCGGTGGCTTAAACTCACACCGGGTGCGTGTGCATGTGTGCCCAAGATCCTGAGAGGAGAATGGAGGAGAAGGGATTGCGGCGTGGCCATCCCCCCCAGGGGGGTGATTTCTCACTTTCTATCTCTCTGTCTCTCTCTCTGTCTGTCTGGTGAGCACATGTGCCCTATAGCAAAAACCTCTTAAAAAAAAAAGAATATGGAAAAACTGATTTTATTTTACAGGGGATCTCCATTGTCCACATTTGCATATAATAAATACAGAATTCTTACAATATTTATTAACAAGAAGATTTTCTCCACTCTCACTGAGAAGCCTTCACATCGGTATTAATAATATGATGCTGCCATATGTGGAGCGTGTTTTCAGTGATGGGTTTTCCAAACAACCATAACAGAAGCTAGAGAAACTGAGGGGTAGAAATAAAGGAGAAGGGGGTATTTCTGTCCTGAATAGCCCATGGAATCTTGACTGAATGCCTTGTCTCTATGGTTTGACTTCATAGTTATACCGGGAAGCGGCCCAGCTCTAACATGGTCATTGTTGATGCGAAGATGATATCAGGCTTCATACCTGTGAAACCATCCGTGAAAAAGGTAAACCCTAATCCCTTCCTGGTAGAAAAGTCATGAAAATGCTGACATTTATGGTTGTCAAATGGATCTTATTGACACAATTTTCTAAAAGTTTACTCCCTCAAACTTGCTTCTCTAGAGTGTGTTTTGATCAAATCAATAGCAGATATCATGGTAGTAATAGTGTCAAATATAAGACATGCAGGCCATAAACACAAAGAACAATGTTCCAGAAAGCTTTCTTCAGACATCTGGGTATGTGGGGTGGTACTGAATTACCTTCTAACAATATATAAAAAGAATATATATGTATGCATGCATCACTTATGTATACACATATATATAAAGGGAGAGAATAAGAGTTCAATAAATATCACTGTTGTTATTGTCATCATTACCATTATTCCTGAAGAAATCATAATTAGTTTAGATACTCTGAGAAGCCGTTTAGATCTTACATGTCCTCAAAATGCTTCTAGTATAAAAATTCCTCACTCCATATTTCTGACTTACTTCTTGGTCAACAGCTCCAAGAACAGCCTCAGATTAAGAGGACTGAAGTGAGCACCAACCATGTCCTAATTTACTTTGAAGAGGTAAGATCTGAAAGAAGTAACAGAGCTTCCAACAAACCAATCCAGATTCCAAACAGTACGCTTCACATATGGGAGGATAAAGGGAGGACAAAATAGCTACAAAAGGACATGAGGCCTTGGGAACCAGCAGTTAGCGTAATGGCTATGTCACTGGACTCCCACGTAGTCGACCGCGGTTCGTGTCCCAGACCCGGTGGCTTAAGACTCACGCCGGGTGCGTGTGCGTGCGTGCCCAAGATCCCGAGAGGAGAATGGAGGAGAAGGGATTGCGGCGTGACCATCCCCCCGGGGGGTGATTTCTCGCTTTCTGTCTCTATGTCTCTCTCTGTCTGTCTGGCGAGCACACGCGCCCTACAGTGAAAATCTCTCCAAAAAAAAAAAGGACATGAGGCCTGGACAAGTCACCATGGCTCAATTTACTGCATTTGACTGGCCGTGGAAGTATCTCTTTTGTCATCCACCTGACATTGAGTATGTTGTAGGGCACCAGCCACTGTTCCATATGGTAGAGATGGCTGGCATAACTATACCATTTGATACTATCTTAAGAAGAGAGGATGGTAACTAGTAACTAAGTTAATCTTGGATTCACTTCCATTTTCCTGTCTCTCCAGCTAACCAACCAAACCTTGAGTTTCTCCTTCTCAGTGGAACAAGACATCCAAGTGAAGAATTTACAGCCAGCGACAGTGAAAGTCTATGATTATTATGAGACAGGTGAGTAGGAGTCGGACATGCTGACCTTTGAAAGGAAAAAAATCACTAACCTAGTAAAGGGTCACTTCAAGGAAAACAAAACGCGACAATTTTTCACTAGAGGAAAGGGTTTCGGTCACTAAGTAATCATGTCCTTACATAGTGCCCTCTGGTGTGCTCCCTAAATAAGTCTTAAAGCCGTTCTTTTTTCCCTTTTTTTTAATTTACATTTAGTCGTTGTACATCTTTACAGAATCCAAAATAGTTTTTCCAGCATGAAGGTAGTGTATACTAGTCCAAAGATACTGCCATATACATTATCATCACTAGATAATTGTTCACTTTTGCATCTGTTAAGTGTTTTTTCTCCTTGTTCCTTCCTTTCTACCCTGTATTACCCACCCCCTCCCATAGCGTCTCTTTGGCCATAATTAATAAGGTGATCACTTCTATCTACATTTCTCTGTAAATTTTTTTTTCTCAACTGAATTAGTACAGAAAGATAGGAGTAGCAATAAGAAAACACAGACATGGGAACCAGCAGTTAGCATAATGGCTATGTCGCTGGAGTCCCTCATAGTCGACCGCGGTTCACATCCTGGACCCGGTGGCTTAAAACTCACGCCGGGCGCGTGTGCGTGCGTGCCCAAGATCCCGAGAGGAGAATGGAGGAGAAGGGATTACGGCGTGACCATCCCCCCTGGGGGGTGATTTCTCGCTTTCTGTCTCTATGTCTCTCTCTGTCTGTCTGGCGAGCGCACGCGCCCTACAGTGAAAATCTCTCCAAAAAAAAAAAAAAAAGAGAGAAAGAAAACATAGACACACACACACACACCCCCCTCAGTATTGATGTGTAACGTGAGACCTTAGATCTGATCTGTTTTGTCTTGTGGTTTGGAGAGTCACAAAATTTGGGAAACTAATATATCGGAAAATTCTTCTATTCGCTCACGATTTTGAACTAGAAACTGACCAGCATCACAGTATGCTGGTAATGTTAAACCTTTCTACGTCTTCTCCTTCCTCCTCTTCTTCTTCTCCTCCTCCTTCTTTTTGCTATTAAGTTTCTCTCTCTTTTTTTATCTTTCATGAGCAAAGATGAACATCCTCAACAGGATCTCATACACAACCCCCACCCCCCACACACACACACCTTTTCCAGCTGGCCAGGACCATGGGCTGTACACCCAGCATGTACAGTCCAGCAGGGAACTGAACCCAGACCTTCCATAAGGCTCCAGCATCACAGAGTGGCACAACAGAGTGTTTGGCTGGGCCAAAATATATCTCCTCCTTAGAATAAGGAGAGGGTCAAAGAAGAAGGTACAACTCCAGTTAGGAAAAAGGATCTGTTCAATGTCCTGTAGGTACACACAGGCACACCTAGACAACCTTCCCCTGGTTCTATACGAGAGCATAATTTTCTCCTGATCTCCTCCACCTAACCCCAAAGAGCTTAGTATGGAGAGATAAGTCATTTTTGTTGCCCTAGAGTTGTGCTTTATATTCTTTTTAGCTTACGTAGTTATTTACCGTGAATCGCTAAGGTGCCTGCTATTGACTGTCTTCACGCTTTTTTGTCCAATCATTTGTGTGTTTCAGATGAATTTGCCATTGAACAATACAGTGCCCCTTGCAGTGCTGGTAAAGTATAACCAGGAAAATGTCATGCCAACTTAAAACATCAATGAGTATCTCTGTTCTCTGCATAAAGCTGCTTCTTAAAATGAGTTTTCCCTTTCCATAGTATAAAAAAACTCCTAATGTGCCATTTATGAAATGAATAATATCAAACATATTAGAGAATTTCTCAAAATAAATGCAAATGAAGTACAATGTCTGATATCTGAAGTGATGTGTTTAAAAATGAAACCAAGACTCTGCCACATGTAAAAACTAAGCCACCTCATATTTAGTTACCGTATATACCCAGGGTGAGACCCTATGTTTATCACTCTTGATTTTCTAGGATGTTTCTAAGTGTAAATAGTTAAAGTTGGGAAGGTTGTCACATGTAGCACAGCATGAGAAATACAATCCATCAGACTTTCCTTTAGGCAGGCCGGCAGAGTTTATTTCTGCAAATACAGCATTTACTATGAGAACGCAGTTCACCATATGTTAAATACAGAAAAGAAAAACTGAGAACTACCCTATCATCAGAAATAATTTAAAGTTATAAAGTTCAAATATCTATAATTGAAGTATAAAATATATGTCTTTAGTAGATCACAGAATTCTCCTAATATTTCTACCTTTCTTCCCACTGTTTAGAATCTGAACAAGGAAATGCCTGAAATGAAAACCTAACAACCTCTTCAGATCAACTTCTCCAGAAATGAAGAGCAATGGCTTCTTAGGAGAGAGAAGAGTGAGAGAAGGAAGGAAAGACGAAAACTTGCATGTTGAATAAGTTTGTGACATTTACAACTCTCTATTTTCTTTATCAATATTATATTTCATTCTGAAATATGTATCTACCCGCCATAGCATTTTTTATTATTTTTCTTTCAAAAATTTGTATCTCCCCGCCATAGCATTTTAAAAAATCACTAAAAAAGTTTATATAACGAGGCACATTCAAATACACAATAGAAAAATCAGTGCAAAACTCTTAAAAATGTTTCATTAACCCATGAGGAAATAGGAGGAAAAAAGTCTCTGAACACTGGAAATAATCAGAATGTCCATTAGTAAGTAAATGGCATAACAAGCTGTTGTGCACCCCTGCCGTGGAATACCACAGGCCCTAAGAAGAGACAGTGGGTACGTTGGATAGATCTCAAAAACATGCTGGGTGGAAAAATAAAAAGTCAGTCTTAAAAGGTCACATACTGCATGATTCCATTCTTTAAATGACAAAATTGTACAGATGGAAAACAAATCCAAAGTCAGCAGGA